GGTGGAGTCAAGAAAAGGGAAAAGGGCAGCAGGGCAATCTGTTAAGCCTGTCAAACATGTAATGTTAATGTATGTTATTTCTGGTAGTACATGCAGTGAAATTTTTGTCATTATGATATGAGTATATCATATCATATAGCATCAAAAAGAAAACATCAAAATTGGACTGATGAATGCAAAAAAAATGGTATATTTACACAGAGCACATTTTCTCTGCATCTTCAGAAGGGGCTGGTTTGAGTGGTGTTGATCTGAACACTAAACTGCTGAAGATTTAGGACTCTCAAGGGCACATCCAGTAAACAATCTTACATGTACACTAAGTGAACCATAGAAAAAACACCCTTTTATACACAGAAATAAATTTTAGGGGGTCATAAGTAATTACAAGAACAAATGAATATAATCTACTATCAATATTAAAAACTATCATTTTTAATACTTTGTTGCAGATCTGCAGACTTGATTACAATCAAGTGACATCCTCAGACACTGGGTGCCTTATCTGGTTTCCATGAGTTTTGCTTTTCTTGATTTTAAAATTATTTTAATAACATACTGTAAACTCAATCATTGAAGATGTTTTTTGATTATGAACTTGTAAATGAGTTACATTTGAGATACAACGGTTTCAAGCCATTTGCCTTTACCAGAATTGTCTGTGATAAAATTGATACAGTTTAAATACAGGCTAGGTACATGAAATTTCTGCAGCAACACTAAGTTGGTTATCAATTTCAGATAATTATAGGGCTTTGTCTTTTCTAAAAGTACATGGAATATGTTTCTGTAAATGGTTCTACAATTAGAAAACAACGTTATGGGCTTTGTGCAAAAAATCGCCCTCTTAGCTACCAGGGGATGCTTTTACAAAAAGTAAGAAAAATCTTTGTCTTTTTGCTGTCATAATCTTAATATAATACATTTTGTGTCGTTTCATGCAAGTGATGAAAGCCTAATAAAATGTAAAAAAAATGTATACTTATTAAAACGTGATGAAACTATATACTAATTAAGCAAGCAAGCAAAGTTTATTTATATAGCGCTTTTTACAACAGGTGTTGTCACAAAGCAGCTTTACAAAAAAAAATCAGCATTACTGAAAGAAAATCTGGGCCTGAGCCCCCATGAGCAAGCCAGTGGCGACAGTGGCAGGGTAAAACCCCCAAGAGAAGGAGGAAGAACAATACTTTTTTTTTATTTATTTTGAGGTGAGACTCCAACAGGAACGTGTCATGCATTGCCAAGGCCTGCTAGTAAGTGTCAATGAGATGATGTGAGATGAGAATTTGTTTTATTTAACAATGTTAAACTGAAATCATATTGTAGTAAAGCATAATTCCTTCTTCAAACAGACTGAACTATCAACCAAGCCAAGTTTATTTATCTAGAAATTCTACACTGTTGATTCATTTGGTCATACAAGAGAAATATGAATGCACAAAAGGCTTCTGTTTCCTACTAAATAATTGTGATATGTAACATGCAATTTGCAGACTTCTGATGTTGTCCGTTTCATTCCAGTGAATACAGGCCTATGGAATTGGACATAAGACTATGTTTAGGTCTGGCTTTTAGCAAGATAGAGAGCAGGTTGCTGTAGAAAAGGACTGATGTGGTGTATCTTATGGTATCTTCTGGGTTGTGGGTCTAAAAAGTAACCTACAAATCAAAACTTTTAGACAGGCAAAAAAAGAGTGCACCATCTAATCATATTTTTATTCCTATCTGCTTAGAAAATATTATCTGTTTATTTTAATTACTGTATTTGTATTCAGTTAAATTCCTAGAATGCACTCATGCATATCCATTTAATGTCTTTCAAAGACCTTTAGTGTCAGGAGAATAGAATTAGATGGAAGGGCTCTTTCTGTGCTCACGTGGTCTCTGCAGGGATGTGCAGCTTCAGTGGGCTTCCTGGAGCTCCCCCTGCCTCCCTGTCCTTTAATGAGCCATATGCTCTGGGATCCCCTATCTGTCTACCACCTCCCTGTAATTAGGACCACCAAGCATATTGGTTACCCAATATCCATCTCTCAGTGTATAGCACTGAGGGAATGAGGCAGCACTGTGGGGGGAAAAAAGGAGCAAAATCGAGTTAACACATGAATTGCAAAAGAGCTGCCTGCTGGTCTTGGTGACTGACCTTTGCACAATTATGATTATGATATTCCCACACACATACTAAAATTAACCCACAGGAGGTACAGAGCTGTATGGCGGTGTCAGAGGGAGACAACTGAGCAAATTGACCACAACATGCAGCTGAGCTTGAGGGCTTTGGTGTACTTCAGTCTCATGTCACCACATTTAGGGCAACCAGTGAGGTCTGAAACTCGTAAAGAGCAATTCTAATTCAGGTCATCAGCACAATGGCATCAAAAAAGTGTTTTTATAAGCATAAACCTAAAAAACAGTAGGGGTCCACACCTTAGGAAGATATATTATTTGAACAGGTGTATAGTGAGGCACATGTTCAGGCTTGATGCGATTTCTGATTCTGAGGTAAAGATTTGTTTCAATTTTCAATATTTTATGTACTAATATCAGAGATGGCACTGATCCAATACCATGTATCATTGATTGGGTACCAAACAATAACACTCCACAAGTCACTGAAAACAAATGTATGCAAAAGTTTGATAACCCTGGCCAAATTACATTTTGTTGATTTTTAAAGCAAAAAGAAGTAAACAAACCTCTGCAGCTAACCATTTTAAAATACAACATTTTTCTGCAGATTGCATTGTACAGTGACTTAAGGCATGTGCAAAAGTTTGGACACCATTCCAGCTGTAAAGTCTCTGTACTTAACTAGCTCAATAAATCTTTATTTACTCCTTAGGACTGATTAGGCAGGTCAAGAACTGTCAGCAGGAATCGTCAGCTCATTCCAATTCCAGAGTGTAATAAATTATCTAACTACTGAGCAGTGTTTTTTGCACAAATATGATCTGCATAAAAGAGTCTTGCGCAAACACTCCTGGCCAAAAATTCTAATTGGTATATTGTGTTGTGCTTTCCCAAGCAGGGACTCAAACACTTTGAGGACAACCAGTCCCACTGCTTTACCAACCATATAACTAAAATGCTAAATTTGGTACACAACATACAGAAAATCACACTACATATGTCAACTTGGTCTGTAAAGATTGTTTTATTAAATTCGAATACTTGACTTGAAAGTTAAACATGACAAGAGTAATAAACACTAGAAGTATGTCATGAGGAACAATTGCACTGTGCTCTGACCTGGGTGCAGTGCTGGCTAGCGCAAGTTGATCTTGAGCCATCAGAAGCTTTTCAAAGATGTCTGTATTCTCAGTATTGACTGGTCATCTCCACTTTTTGCACATGAAGAAGGCACTAAATCCTGTCTTGTCACATCTGTAGTTTTTTGATTCGCTAGAGGAAATATTTTCTGTAATGTCTGGAGACAATTTAGGCCTGGCTGTCACTGCAGCAGTCTAAGGTGATATGAGAGGTTATCATTATTTTGCTGTGGATTATCTGTTTAAAGATGAGAAGAGAATGCATCTTTCTGCTTGTCACTGTATGAGGCTCCAGTGAGAGTTATGGCTTTAATAACACAACTGCTGCTTCAATTTGTCCTCTAGCATCAATGAAATGTTCAGTGTGATTACTTTCTTGGCAGGGCCAGGACATTAACTGCCCCCCAGTCAGACTGTGTTAAAAAAAGCATTTTGTTAAGCTGTTGAGAGCACATACTGTCTGGACTGACACACATGCAGACACAACAAGCCATTGGACATTATCTTCTGTAGACGAAAGCTCTTTTTGCACTCACAAACTGACACCATGGGCTACCAGACACGCATGGACTTGGTCACATTTCTGGTCACGACCGTTTTGAAAGTACTTGTTGGAGTGCCGTGGAGCAACATTAGAGGTTCATGGGGTTCTTCGGTGTTTCTCCATGACACAACTCTAATTTGAATGTAGCTTAAGAGTAAAATAGATTAAGTACTTGAAAAAGATTACCATGTAAGTGGATCCAAAAAATAGAAAACAGCTTCTAATGACAGATAGGTAGATAGATAGATACTTTATTGATCCTAAAGGAAATTTAGCAGCCAGTAGCAGTCACACAACACAGGATAGTAATATAATATGTACAGTAAGGAGTCCGTATGTGCAGATGGATAAAATAAACCTATGATTTAGTATGAGATAAACAAGTGACACGAGTAGTTTTTAGAAAGGTAATTAGTGTCAGAAAAACTCAAACTGAAGAAATGTTCAATCATTTTGGCAGTAAAAAGTTGTACCTCAAACAATATTCTAAACACTGATGCAAATGCAAATTTATTAATATAAAACTCACAGGTGAAGTTTACTCTGGGGACACTGCAGACATGTCCCCACCAACTTTTCAGAATATTGATAAAGTGCTATTTTTTTTTGAAGAGCTGTAAATTGTTTTCACAGCAGAAGGTTCTCAGCCCTCCCCTTTTGCCCCTCATTGCTCAGTAGAAGCTATAAATGGGGTAAAACATTTTATTTGATTATGTTCATTTAAAGTACCATTGATTTCAATAGGGGATCTTCAGAAAGAGGCTACAATGCCTGATTTTGTCGCCCCAATGGTTAAAACTGTTTAGAGACTGTTTAAAATTTATTGCACAATAAATGCTGCAGAAAAATGTCTGAAAACTTTCTAACACCACTAAGAAGATCATAAGATAAAAGTGTATTTGGCCACTCCACCATTACACTGACATATGACACACTGTCAGACAGAAAAAAAGGTGTTTGTGTGTGTATGAGTAATGAGAAAATTCAGTCGTTGAAAAAAAAATGAACAAATTGTAATTTAAAAGAATTCAATAATTCTGAGAGTAAAAGTGTGTGAGTGTGTTTGAGTCCTCATCCCTGTCATTGGCACTTTTCTAAACAAAGTAATAACAATTTAAACAAATCAGAACTTGTCACATAAATTAGATGAGATATAGAGAAAGATTAGAAATAAAATGTTTTACCTGGATAGTGGGTGGGGAGCGCTGCTTTCGGGTTGTCGTTGTGGACAGGGTTGTAGTGGTCTCTATGAAAGTGGTGGACATCTCAGGGGGCATGGAGGTGGTAGTCCGGGAAGGGCTCCGACTGGTAGGTACGTCTCCCACCAGCCTCACGCTGCCATTCACCTTTATGTTGGCATGACCCTCAGCGGCCATGTTAAGAACCTTAAGCCCATTGTAGTACAGGCCAGAAAGCTGGCCTTGATATGGACGTTTGCGATCGTTTCCACCTATTGAGATCGTGGCTTGGGTGTTGAAGATGGTGAGCTGCCGACCTATAGACAAAATCGTAGCAGAACCGCAGTCACATCCATCGTTCCTAACTTTATAACATTCACTCTACACTGTACACTGTCCGAGTTCTACTAAGTAAAAATAATCATTATGACTAATAAATTAGACACACTATAAGGCAGACATTCTTAATATGTTGTATACTCTGTGTACATCAATTTCCAAATGTCAAATTTATGCTTTCTTGAGTTCTCTAAGAGTTACATTACTGGCAAATGATGCTCCTCAAATGGAAAAGAGAAAAAACACATCACTATAGTTAGCACTGCTAAAAAAATCACAATTATATCCCACTGGGCATGAAATGACTGGGAGGGAAAAAAAATATCATCTCATACACATCAAAGAAATATCATGTTGATTCATGCATGTACTACCACTAATGGGATTTTGGAGAGGCTTTAAACAGTGTTAAAGGGACTTTATAATCATCTTATGAGGTTTAGGCAATGACCTTTAAAACCATTTAATATTCATATTATTGTAAGGAATTAAGTGCTAAATTTAACTACTTGTTATACTCCACCCCAGCATTGTTTGAAAATCGAGCTATAAAGAGGTGTTTATCTCCTCAAAGAGTAACCAATTAAAAGATAATAATAAAACACAACAAAAATGTCCATCACTGTGGCATTAAAATGCATCAGCACCATTTTGTTGTGTACAGAGATGAGGTCGACAATGAAGTTTTATTATTCGATTCTATAATTAAGTGTGCATGTAACCATGCTTGTATGCACTTAAACGAACTGTTCCAATGTTATTACAAAAGATGCTCAATAAGTATGCTCATCATCATTTTTTTACTTAAATACAGCATATTGGCTTTAATACGACTTATTTCCAAATGGTTCATTTTTTTTTCTTAGAACAGTTGACATATTTTATTATTCATTACCAGTCCCTTTAACTGGTGTATGGTTCAAAATGATTTAATGGAGATAACACAAAAAAGAGGGGGGGAATAAATTAAACAATTTATGGTTCATTAAGGGTTTAAAGGCTTGTCAGGCCAATTATTTGTATAACAATGACAAAACGATTTGACAAGGAAAACAAATGAAAACAAAAATTAACAAGGATTAATTAAGGTCTTGTGAAGGTTACCTTTCTCGTGTAGCCAATCTTCAACCGGCCGGGTATATTTGAACGGGATTTTCTTATTAGCCATTTGAAAGCGTTCAATGTCACTGTTGCCTTTAAAGTTTGAAAGTTTAAAAAGCATCTTAGCATCCTTGCACATTTCACATTTAAATACTGTTTAAGAGAATGTTTAGCCATGTTTAAGATCGGTTAGGTGTTATTATGATTTTCAGTTTATATGTTTTTGATTACTTCAGTGATTCACATATCCATTTGTGTACAATAAAAACACTTGTACACTTTACAACAAACACTTGCAGCATTACTGTACAAATAATGTCGTTCACAAACAGGGTGAATCTTACGATGGTTAAACACAATACATTTTCTTCATAATAATATAATAGCAATAATAATATAAAAGCATAGAAAGTCAAATACATTAATTAAACATGCTAAGTAAGAAGTGCTCTCCAGCTAGACACTTCTAAACTACAAGTAATTCAAAGGCACTTTTGCCCACTAAACATCAGATGCTTTTGCTTTTTAAGAGACAAGGAACAAGTCACTTTACCAACACTTTGGAAAGTAGAGAGCAGTAACTGTAATATAAAGAGATAACACACAGGAGATGGATGCCTGCTGGGAAATAAGTCCTCTGATGACACAGATGTAATGAGAACACTGCATACACTTTATGTGTGTACCATAAGATTGTTACGTGTGTAGTTTAGGATTGAGGCACTCTTGGCTGCCGCTATTCCACAGGGACCAGAGCAGCCAGTACATTCCAGCATCATTTTAATTCCATTCTTAACAGCAAAATATCAAAAAGTAAACTGTCATTATTCTTTTCAAACCACTGCCCACAATTTTCCATGTAGCAATTCTATCTAGTTATTTTTCTTTGTTTGTTTTTGAAAAAAAATGAGAAAAAATGAGAAATCCTTGGCTGAAAGCAAAATTCAGGACCAAATTTGGCAGAAAACCAAAAAAGCTGACAATAAATAAAAACTAAAATACTAACACAATTACAGTATGGGCTACAGTATGTGCCACAAAATCGTCCTCAACAACAAATAACAATTTGTCATTCTTGGTAATGAATTCCATTATTTTTTTACTTATACTTTACACTTTGCACTTAAGTTTTTGGCTACAGATGGTGTTAGCGTGATAGTGGGGACTTTCCTTTCTGCTCTTGTTGTTTTTTCTGTATTCTGCATATTGAGCGTGATGCCATGTTTCCTGTGGAGTCACACTGGAGAAGGTTTTACCCAATTCCTTCCCTAATTTGAGTCATGTCCAATTCCTACCACTTTGCTATGTCTCCTTCTATCAAACAATGCTTTCAAGCCAGGTGAGTGAAGGCTACCACATGCTTCCTTTAAGACACATGAAGCCAGCCACCACATCTTACCAAAACTGCCGCTAACGCAACATCAATGGGCAACTTAAAATGCTTGGAGAATGCTAACTGCCAATTCTGTTATATCAGCCAACAGACTTTTGCAGGGAGGGCCAGTTATGCTCTCTCAGGCTGTGTAAACAGATTGGGCTCAAAAGTAGTATTAAAAAAAGCAGTTTGCAGTATGTGACAAATATGAATTTCCCCAGTACACCAAAGATACATGGATGATGTACTACTCTAGCAAAATACTCTAGTAAGCAGCCAGAGCTATTCCCATAATATACCTCATCCTAAAATGCAACACAATCATTTCAGGAGGACGTAACTGGAAAATGGAAAATGGGGTGGACCTTGAGATCTGATTGGCTAAGGCCTACATTATGGTAGTCTAGTCATGGCCCTGCTCTGTGGAATGGCACATGGTTTTTGTTGTATACTGGATACTACACTGTATACAACCATGAAGAGCAGCATGCAGTGTACAGTATATATACGTGCAGTACGCAGTATGCCATTCTGAATGCCCCCCAGTTGTGTCGGTGTTTGTGATCAAACTCACAATGACCCGCTGAGGGGGGTGGAAATTTTCCCGATGGCTGATATTATGGTGCATTCCTTACTTTGAATACCAATTTAGTCACTGTCATTTCTACCTGCTAGATAGGTCTTCCTCCATCACATAATGCTACCAAGCTGGGGGAATGAAGGGTAGCATGTGTTTCCTCTGAGACTCATGAAGCCAGCCACTACATCTTTTCGAACTGTCACTAACACAACGACTGAACAGCTCTATATGGATTTGGAAGAGAACTTTATTCTGTCAGTTCTGATGTGTCAGCTAACAGGCACCTGTATTGGCTCGCACTGCGCTGAGTACTGGGAGGAAGAAAGAATTATCTTATCCACTCAGAGTGAGTGAGGCCAGTTATATTAACATGGTTAACTTGGCTGCCTTAAAGTTTAAATTATATTGAACCTGATTATATTGAACTTACTTTTGAAACTTACTATTGAACTTGATATATTGATAACTAATTTTAAGGCAACCAGGTTACTAACTTTTTTAAACATCATGAACACTGTGATCAAGTTTCCACCTGTTCCACTGGGAGTCTTTGGGATGTTTTGCAATTCCTACCTTTAAACTTTAAAGACTATGAAAGTGATTAAAAATGTGTCTAAGTGAGTGATAAAATATTTAAAACCAACTCCTTCACTTGATAGTATTCCAAGTCCAATTCTCCTTCCTTCTGTTTCGTAGCGAAGCACGCAATTACGCGTGCAAAACGTCAAGCAACTGTCTTTCTCCATGTATGTATGAGAGAATGTAAGAAACAGAGACTATGCTTTAATTACAAGGCACTTCTAAACCTTCAAAGGTTTTATTGCTAGCTTGGCATAAAGAAATGCTCCCACACAGTGGAGACATCTGGCGGAAAGCACGCAATGTCCATGTGCACCACCTGACAGTAATTTCCAGCAATGCTCAATGTCTCTTAGCTCAACATACCTCAAATGTTGTATAGCTATGCTCTTGTGACGACGTTTTTTCCAGTGTGCAGCAGCCTTTAGACAGCTGCAATAGTCTTTCGGTGTTTTCTTGAATTAAATAAAACCTCTGATCAAAATGCAAGACACAGGCTCTGCCCTGCCCCCTGGTGTGGTACACGTCACAATTCTGAAGAATGAGAACATATAACGTTACAGAAGCTAGACTGCTTAGATTCTAATTTATTTTTAATTTTTTTTAGATTTTCATGACTACTAAAATTCAGAATCATCCCTATTAGTGATTCAGTTCCTTCCTCTGTTTTGTTCTATCTTTTAAAAAGGCAGGGCATCAAAGCATTCATTCCTCCATGCTCGGAGGAAAGGAGACAGCCGTAGGGTCTGGACCAGAGATCAGATGCCATGCCAGCTTTTTCTCTTACTCAGGATGTCTTCATGCACAACCCTTCTGTATAATATTCCCTTCAGTAATGGTGCACTGCTGCTTACCCACCAATTAAAGAGATAAAAGGGCTATCAAAATGGCCACCAGCTCTACCGTGTCTGTAAAGTAAATGTTAAAAGTGCCAAGCACAAGTGTGCAAGATGCTACCCTTGTCCAATGCTAAAAGGCAGAACTATGGCTAAACCATAAAGATTACCTATTTACAATAAAGACAGGTATTAATTATTTATCATTTATATTATGGAGTTCTCTATTCTTTAAGGTTGACAAGCTATGTTATACACTTAAAAGTTTCTCTAGACCAAATTAAGAAACATGTCAGTAGAAACAGGCATTTACCCATTTGGCACACAACTGTATGACTCTCTGTAGTTGCCATGACAATGTATCAAGAAATATGGTGATAGTATTGCAGTGTGTTCACAGATCACAGATGCGGAATAAACCTCTGTGTTTTAAAGAAAAACTATGAATATGGATTGGAATTATTTGATTCTGCATTTAAAATGAGATTAGCAGGTCCTGAATGGAGGCAATTGTTGTTATATTGTGTGAGATGAACATGTTTAGGATAGAGGTACATTACTATGCAAAAGTCAGACACCACCCTTCATTTATTTAATCACAGTCAAAGTGGCCATTAAGCAGAAGTTAGGGAAGAAAAAAAGACATATTATGAAGAAAATTACACAGAAGCCTCAACAAAATATAATGTGATTTTTTCAGTATTTAGTGTCTACACTCTTCATTTTTGTTACAGCTTCCATTCGTTCCAAAAGACTACTTCTTTCAGTTTTTCACAGAAATATGCAAGGATATATTTCCACACCTCCAAAGTTCAGTCTTAGAGGATGGTTCCATTTTCTGCTTTTCACAATCCTAGTAATCACAACACATTCAAAGATGTTAAGGGCTGGATGCTGGAGTGGTCAGTCCACTGTTCTGAGAACACCAGTAGCTCTTTTTTGAATTTGCAATTTTTTTTCCTTTTTCCTCTGTTTCCTTTAACAACAACTTGACAGCTACACATCCTTTCAGACCCAAAATGCTGAGTTGTCTTCTCACACTGGAATGATGGACAGATCAGATCTGAAGCAAGACTGAAGCTTTATTGTCACCTCTCTCCCAAAGATGAAAGCTCTAAGCACTGATTATTGGATTGTAACAGTTTTGGTGGTCTACCAGTTATTAAACAATTGTTGTCTTCTTAATTACTAAACTACTGTTTATTTTCCCTAATGCAAGTGGATTATCATACATTTAACCTACTCTGAAATATCACCTGAAAAATGAACAACTTCATGACTTAAGATAATTAATGGCGTTTAGACTGGGAATTCAATAAAGACTTGGACAGCCTTTTTATAATAAAAATTAGGAAAGGTCAAAGGTCACTTTTAGCCTTACAAATATTATATGTTCCAGGTACAAAATACAGTTTACAGAAATAATGTCATAAAATCGGCCCTCTTATTGAACCAATTCTTTTTTTTTCCCACACTCAAATAAGTTACAAAAATTATTCCAGTGCCAGTCCAAGTGTTTTCCACAGCAGTCTTGCATTTTGAAGACTGTGTATTAGTAAAATGCAAAAATTAGTGCTGGGAAAACTGTAACAATAATGGTCCAATGGCCTGAACTGAAAGTCTAGCCCTAATAAGTCACGTTTTATGTAGCCTGATGATTCGTTAATGATCTGACTAATAGCCCAATCGGAATAGAATACATCCATTTATACAGCTCAGTCGT